CCATAGTAGATGGCTGAAATGGCTGAAATGGCTGTCCCCCAGCCATCTTACCCAAGATGGCTGCGATGTAGCCAGCTCAGCCAAGAGGGCTCACCTCGAGGCGGGCGGTGTGGCTGCGGTAGTGGCGTAGTGCGTCTCCAGCCATGTCTACTAAGGATGGCTGCCGTGTGTGTGTTGCAGCCATCGGGCTGAAGGATGTGGCTGCACTGCAGCTAGCTCAGCCATCCTTAGGTAAGATGGCTGTGTAGGAGACAGCACAGCCATAGTGCGCTTACATTCCGAGGTTAGCCCCGAGCCCATCGAAAAAATTCGGCGCGCCGCACTGCTCTGACCCCTGCTCGCCCCTGCTCGCCCCTGCTCGCCACTGTCGCCTCGGTTGCCGAGGCTGCCGCGCACCCGCGCGCCCGCGTCGCTGCGCGACTACGAACTGCACCAGCTGGGCTCGAACCAACGACCAAAACGTCCCCGACACGAACGCTGCACCAACTAGGCCACGCCGCAGGCTCGATTTGCAATACGCACAAAACTGGCCGCTCATAAAGCACTACTCATTTGCCGAGGCCACGCGGCGCCCCTCCACAGCCAGCCTACCCTCCTATCGCGCCACTCGAAGCCCCGCGGCCGCCTCTCGCCTACCGCGCTGCCCTCGCCTGCCACCGCACCGCCCGCGCTCCAGCCTAACCAGCTCTGCATCTCGCAACACACACTTGACAGGGACAGACCAGGCGCAGGAAAAGGGAGCGGGGCCCGAATCCAAGGGACCACCCCGTCGGGCGGAGGAGCTGTGAACTCAGGTCCAGTAGGAAGGCTGCTGGCTCCTGACTCATCCCCCAAATCCCCCACACCTTGGCGGCCTGAAACCTTACCATTCCACCACCTCACACACACCCCTCCCCTAGGGCTAAGCAGTGCGCGAGCCCAGGCGAGACGTTGACCACTCCTTTGGAACAGTTCTGTCAGTGGCTGCACTAGACGCCCACAGAGGCGCGCGGCGCGGGCGGATGACTAGGGGAGAAAAAGCGGAGAACCTAGCTCGCTGAGAGATGTGCGCAACCTAAAGACGGGAATAGGGGAGAAGTGTCAGTGTGAGGGGAGGGCATAGGCTGGCGTTTTTGCCTTTGAAAACTGAACAGTTTTTTTTCCCTAGGGGCGTCAAGCACTGGCCGGTGCACGTGGGTGAGCAGCCTGCCCCTCCCTCCCGACAAACCAACTCCCGCACACACACAATCGCACTCTGCGGGCCATCGAATGACTCCGAATGACTCACTGTGTGCGCCGAGCGCGGCGCAAGTTGGAGGAAGCCGCCACGTACCGACGAGCGCGTTGGACTTTTCACTCCGGACAAAGACGGCACTGCGGTCGTGTGGCCGTCATAGCGGTGGAGGGGCCGTCTTGTTTACGATCGGTTGCGCTCTCCACGGCGGGCGAATCTCCGACCTGACCCATCCCTGGCGAGGTACTCCCACGCCTCTCGGGGCTTTTCTGTGGCCGAGTCTTGGCGAGACTGCGTCAGCTGTATGCGGTCGTGTGGCCGTCATAGAGCGGCGCCGAGGCGCGGGGGAGCCCCAGCCCGTCTGTGGCGAAGTGGGTCGCGTCCTCAGGTCCCCGTCCTTTCCGATTTCCGTCAACTCACGGTCCACACCCTCTATCATCAAAAGCATTGGGGATAACGAAACAGTAGACGATCGACCAGCGATGTGTGCATGTGTGTGGCCCGACGCCCGAGCGTGTTTTGTGTTCAGAGGGCCCCCCCCAAATGGGGTGATGTCCGAGGCGCGTGGCGGGCGTCGCTCGGCGCCAGCGCCGCTCTCGCACGGCGCGGAGCTCACTTGATTGCGCCTCCGGCGATGGAGGCGCACTTGCAGGGCCCGTGCGGCGTCGAGAAGGGCAGCTGCTGGAAGCGGGCGGTGCCGTCGGGCGCGGTGTTCATCTCGGGCTGCAGCCTGTCCCACAGCTTCTTGCGAGGGTTGAGCTGCTTCTCGGGCGGCGCGTCGTGCCCGTCAAACACGACCCGCTCGCCGAGCGGCGCGGCCGGCGGCGGCTCCACCAGCTCGACCGCGCTGCCTAATGATTAATCAAGCATGATTCGTTCGTAGTAATCAATCATTAGCTCCACCAGCTCGACTGCGCTGCCGTCGGCGGCGAAGGCGCAGAGCAGCATCGCCTGGTCAGTCGCCGCGGGACGTGTCTCGGAAGCGTCTAGGAGGTGTCTGTAGCAGCATCGCCTGGTGAGGCGCTCCCCCGGGGAAGGGTGAAGGGGGGCTGGGAGCCGCTGCCGGGCGGACGCTACAGAGGCGTGCGCCTGCGGCTCCATGCCCTTGAGCTTGCTGATTTGATTCCTAGCTAGTTAGCTAGTGAATTCACTCGCGCCTGCGACTCGACGCCCTTGAGCTTGCTCGGCTTTGTGTTTGCCAGCAGCACGACACGCCGCCCCAGCAGCGCCTCCGCAGTCATGTACTTCACCAGCCCAGACACGACGCGACTGCGCGAGGAATCATGACCAACCACTGAGTACGAGCGGGCGCCGAGTGCTCGACCGGCCAAGGCGCGGCACGCCGAGGACCCGTCGGCTCGCCCAAGTCGACCTAGTTGGTGGACTTAATTAGTTCGTACTCACTGAGGAGTGAGTCATTGACTCACTGAGTCGGCTTGCCCAAGTCTACCTCCTCCACGTACAGCGAGTCCGCCTCGGAGTGCCGCTCCACCTGCCTCGGACCATCTCGGCTCACCTCGGCTCATCTCCGCCCATCTCGGCGGATCTGATCTCGGCTGATCTCCGCTCATCTCCGCTCATCTCGGCTCATCTCGGCGGATCTGATCTCGGCTGATCTCCGCTCATCTCCGCTCATCTCGGCTGATCTCGGCGGATCTGATCTCGGCTGATCTCGGCTGATCTCGGCTGATCTCGGCTGATCTCGGCTCATCTGACCTTGAGCACGCGCCCGACGCGCAAATCGAGCTTATGCAGCTCCTCCGCCACGCCGCCGCCGCCGCCCGCCGCCGCCCGCGCCGCCGCCGCCTGCTTCGCCGACCCGAGATGATCCGAGATGATCCGAGATGATCCGAGATGGGCCGAGATGATCCGAGATGGGCCGAGATGGGCCGAGACGCGGCCTGCTCCGCCGCGGCGCGCGCGGCCTGCGCCTCTTTGGCCGCCCTCTTCTTGGCAGCCTCCTCCTCGAGCCGCGCCTAGACACTTCCGAGACACTTCCGAGACACCTCCTCGCCTCTCCCCCCTGGCCTCCTCCTCAGCGAGCCGCGCCCGTGCGCCCTCCGTCTCGCCCTTAGCGAACAGCACGTCGTCCTTGGACGCGCTCGCCGCGACCGGCGTTCCGGGGACCAGGTTGGACAGCGTCGGGCGGAGGCGCCAGATCGGGACGGGGGGCGTCCCTAGTGGAGATGGGGGGAGATAGGGGGAGATATGAGGGAGATCGGGACGGGGGGCGTCCCTAGTGGAGATGGGGGGAGATAGGGGGAGATATGAGGGAGATCGGGACGGGGGGCGTCCCTAGTGGAGATGGGGGGAGATAGGGGGAGATATGAGGGAGATCGGGACGGGGCGTCCCTAGTGGAGATGGGGGGAGATAGGGGGAGATATGAGGGAGATCGGGACGGGGCGTCCCTAGTGGAGATGGGGGGAGATAGGGGGAGATATGAGGGAGATCGGGACGGGGGCGTCCCTAGTGGAGATGGGGGGAGATAGGGGGAGATATGAGGGAGATATGAGGGACGAGGGGGTCCCTAGAAGGTTCCTAGAAGGTTCCTAGCTCGTCGGTGCTCACCTAGGAGGGATGGAATCTGCTGCTCAGGAGCTCGGGAGATATGGTGAGATATGCGGGAGATTTGAGGGGCGTTCATGTGAGAACGTTGCTCTAGGGGGGAAGGACGCTGGAGCTCCCCCCCCCCCCTCGGGACCAAGGCTGCGCTGGGGGCAGCGCGCCGAGCTTCTCCCACACCCTCTGGGCGGCGTCGACGAGCACGGGGGCGAGGAAGTGCGTGCACGCGTAGATCACCTCGAGGGGAGGGATGGGATGGCTGGTCTTCTCGCGAGCAACCACCTCGAGCAGGGTCTGGCTAATCTCCGGGTAATCTCGGGCAGTCTCGGGTAGTCTCGGGTACCTCGAGCAGGGTTCGCACGACCACCCGCCGCTTCGGGTCGCCGGCAGGGAGCTTCCAAGGGGCCGCGTCGGTCACGTACTTGTTGGCCACGTCGAGTGCGCGCAGCACCAAGTAGAGCGCCTGGTCGGCGGCGAGCCTTGATTGATTAATTAGCCAGCTCACTGGTCGACCCGAGCGAGTGATTGGAGCGCCTGGTCGATGGCGAAGCGCTGCATCTCCGCCTCCACCGCCTCGCGCAGCGCCGACAGGTCGACCACGGCATCGGCCTCCGCTGCGGGCACCACGCCGCCGCAGTCCTTCTTGCACAGCACCTGTTCCCAGACACTTCCCAGACACTTCCGAGACACTTCCGAGACACTTCCGCAGTCCTTCTTGCACGGCACCGTCGCTCGCTGCACCAGGTTGCCATAGTTGTCCGCGAGCTCTGCGTTCTGCCGCAGCACGAGCGCATCCTCGGAGAAGGTGAGGTCGCCCCCGAAGGGCGCGTCCCGCACGAGGAAGAAGCGGAACACGTCGACGGAGTGGCGCGTGAGCACGTCGAGAGGGTCGACCACATTGCCGAGCGACTTGCTCATCTTGCGCCTGAGAGCCAGCACGCGCTCTGAGCCCCGAAAGAGGGTGCCACTTCTTTTTTTCTGGTAAACTGGTCCAATTGGTGGCGCCCGTCGCTGCCGTGGACGAACCCGTGCGCGAGGACGCAGCGAGGCAGCGGGATGCCCAGCGAGAGAAGCAGCGCGGGCCAGATGATGCAGTGGAACCAGATGATGTCTTTGCCGATGAGGTGGACGTCGCACGGCCAGAAGCCGTCCTTGCCGCCGCTGCCGTACTCGATCCCAGACAGGTAGTTTGTCAGCGCGTCGAACCAGACGTACATCACGTGCTTCTCGTCGCCCGGCACAGGGATGCCCCATGTGAACGTGGCGCGCGAGACGGAGAGGTCGCGCAGCGGCTCCTGCAGCAAGTCGAGCGTCCCGTGAGTGAGCCAACACGCATGCCCATTGGTGGAGCCGCTTTCTCGGCAGCGGCGCCTTGAGCCGGTCGAGGATCTCGGGTAATCTCGGGTAATCTCGGGTACTCTCGGGTACTCTCGGGTAATCTCGGGTAATCTCGGGTAATCTCGCCTTGAGCCGGTCGAGGATCTCGTTCCGCCGACTCTCGGGCTGGATGAACTCGGGGTGGGACCGGATGTGGGCCTCGACCTGACTCGTCGCTTCGACGGTCACCGATGTGGGCCGAGAGGAACCGAGAGGACCCGAGAGTACCCGACAGTCCCCGACCTGACTCATCGCCGCAACGGCCACTGCAACCACTTGTGTGCGACCGGGATGTGCGACCGGATGTCGCCTCAGCCGAATGCGTCGCCGGCGAGATGCAGCCGAGATGCAGCCGAGATGCAGCCGGGATACAGCCGAGGTGCAGCCGAGGTGCAGCCGAGATGCAGCCGAAGTGCAGCCGAGGTGTAGCCTGCGGTCTAGCCGAGGCGTAGCCGAGGTCTAGCCTCCTCCACCTGCCCGTGGTACTGAACTAGTTATTAGCTAGTCTAGCCTTCTCGACCTGCTCGTGGTACTTGGCCATCTTGAACATGTAGGACGACTCCTGCGAATTAATAAATCAATTGATGAATATTAATTAATCAATCAGTCATATTGACCGTGTAGGGCGACTCCTGCATCTTCTGCAGCGGCACGCCCGAGACGGGGTCCTAGGAAGTGTCGAGGAAGTGTCCACGAAATGTCGAGGCATCTTCCGCAGCGGCACGCCCGAGGCGGCGTCCTTGTACTCGGACGCCTGCGCCTCGGTCTCGGTGACAAACGTCTCCTCGCGCACATTGTACCACCCCTCGTACGACCTGTCCACAGCTGGACACTTCCTAGACACCTCCTAGACACCTCCGACACACTCCCCTCGTGCGACCTGTCCACAGCTGCAAGTGTGAGCCGACGCGGTTCACGCCTCGTGCCGCCGCGCCTCCCCTCTCCGCCACCCGAGGTACACGTCGCCGCTCTCGACCGCCCGCCGCCACAGCGCCTGGCAGGCCGCCTTGTGGGCGGGCGAGGTTGTCAGTCAGTGGTACACACACGTCCCTAGCACGGACGACGGGGCACACGCACTCGCGGAACACACACGGGGGCATTGCACACGAGGCGGTGTGTGCGTTCTCAGGGAAAGGCGCCACCGCAGAAACGCGTGCAACAATCGGCGGGGCAGCGGCAGCGGGAGCGGTGGGGGCCCCCCGCGCCTTGTGCGCAGGCGAAGTTGTGCGCACGTAAAAGTCGTTCGAGACGCCCAGCTTGGCGTTGAGTGCGCGGAAGCCTGACCGGTGCATGCACGAGTCAGCGAAACTACCGGCTGGCTCAGGCCTCGGCGCTGAGGGCGCGGGAGCACCTGATCAGCGCATCCATGGGCACATGAGCAGACTGCCGTCAGAAGCGGTGGCGGTTGGGCGGGGTTACCGGCGGGTAATCTCGGGTAATCTCGGGTAATCTCGGGGAATCTCGGGTTGGGCGGGGTTACCGGCGACGGCGCGGTCGCACAACTCGATGGGCCGGATGCCTGTAGTTCACAGCGGAGCGGGTGTGAAGACGCCGCGAGGGCGCCTGCCGAACAGCCCAAGATGCTCCTGCGCAGGGCCGGTGCCTGGGAGGTGTCTGGAAGGTGTCTAGGAAGGGTCTGGGAAGGGTCCAGGAAGGGTCTGGGAAGGGTCCAGGAAGGGTCTGGGAAGTGTCTAGGCTCGGCGCCCTGCGCAGCGGCCGTGTCGCTGATCTTTTGGCCGTGCTCGTCGGCACCGGTCAGGAAGAAGACCTGCGTAGGACGTGTCTAGGAAGTGTCTAGGAAGTGTCTAGGAAGTGACGGTCAGGAAGAAGACCTGCGCCACGGCGGTCTGGGTGACGGGCGCTCCCTTCTCGACTGTCTGTGCTTGCTTGTGCGTCTTGGGTCCGGGGTTGTGTTTTTGTGTGAAGGGTGCGAGAGGTGTCTAGGGAGCCTCTAGCGAGTGTCGAGGACGTTTCTAGGACGTGTCCGGAGGAGTGCCTAGGAAGTGTCTGGGAAGTGCCTCGGAAGTGACTAGGAAGTGTCTGGGAAGTGTCTGGGAAGTGTCTGGGAAGTGTCTGGGAAGTGTCTGGGAAGCGCCTCGGAAGTGTCTAGTAAGTGACTAGGAAGTGTCTAGGAAGTGCCTAGGAAGTGTCTAGGAGGTGTCTAGGAAGTGTCTAGGAAGTGTCTGGGAAGTGCCTCGGAAGTGTCTAGGAGGTGTCTAGGAAGTGCCTAGGAAGTGTCTGGGAAGTGCCTCGGAAGTGTCTGGGAAGTGTCTGTGGGAAGTGTCTCGGAAGTGTCTCGGAAGTGTCTGTGGGAAGTGTCTCGGAAGTGTCTGTGGGAAGTGTCTCGGAAGCGCCTCGCGGCCGTACGCGCGGTGGTAGCGAGCGATGACGTCGGCGCAGACGCCCTCGTACGCGTGGCCCATGTGCGGCAGCCCGTTCGCGTAGTTGATCGCCGTCGTGATGTAGTACCTGCGCGGAACGGCACGGCACGGCTCGGCAGCGCTCTTCAGGCTCTACAGGCGCCTCCAGCAGCTGTGGCGTGGCGGGGCGCACTTCTAGGAAGTGTCTAGGAAGTGTCTAGGAAGTGTCTAGGAAGTGTCCAGCAGCTGTGGCGTGGCGGGGCGCACTTCTAGGAAGTGTCTAGGAAGTGTCTAGGAAGTGTCTGGCGTGGCGGGGCGCACTTCTCGCCCGTGCGGTCCGGGGCAGGGAAGTTGGCCGTCGCTCCGCGCCCGTCGACGATGTCCGTCGGAGACAGCCACAGCACGCGCAGCCGCGACGCCTCCGCCGCGCTCGGCGGCAGCTCTGCTCCGCTGTCGCCGCCGACCGCAGCGGCGGCGGCGGCGAGGGCTCCAGTGCCGCGCCAGAGCGTCGCTACGGCAGGGCCGGGCGCGAGCTCGCGCACGCTGGCGACGAAGCTGTCATCTGCCTCGGACGGCTTGTAGTGCTCGCCAGCGAGGTCCGCTCCCGGCCGCACGAGGCGGAGCGAGGCGAGGCGGAGGCCGGCGGCCTGCAGGCGGCCGCAGAGCTCGGAGACGCGGCCGCCGCGCACCGCCGCGGGGAGAATGAGCAGGAAGGCCTCCTCCTCGTCGGGCATGCCGGGCCTGAGAGTGTGTGTTGCGATGTCGGCTGTAGCGAGAGAACGGGGTCGCGTCGATGACAGCAGAAAAAAATTAAAAATTGCCACTGATGTCTTGTCTTGTGGTTCTGTACGGACACATGTGTAAGAGCGCGCACGAGTGGGTGTGCGAGCAATATCGAAAGACAGTGAGGCCGGGGTCGCACACGGCAGGGGTGGCGGGACGGTTGTGGAGCGAAGTAGCAGTAGCCAGCCTCAAGCATCGATGGGATAATAAGATGAGATTACCAGACGAGAACGGGGGGAAGGACAGGCGGGCGACATTTGACGACGTCGGGGATCACAATGTGACGACCAAAACGATCTTGGGGGCCAGGGTGAGACAACAGGTCGGGGTGCCACATGGGGCACACCACAGGCGTATTCTAGAGGGGGAAAAGAAACGGGGAATGAGGGGCCCCGCCACGAGAAGTGCGTTCTGGGGATGCAGAGCGTGCAAAGCGGCTAGGGATGAGGCCACAAAAGAGGCGCGCGAGGCAAGGAGGAGACGCGGGGAACTGAAAGACTGGGACGACTGGAAACAAGAAGACAGTGAGGTGAGAACATTGGCGCGCGCAGAGAGAGGCCCTGAAACCCCCCCCTCCCTACCTGACAGACGCCGAGAGCCTGATGGGCATCTCGACCACGGCTGCGGCCACGCTCTGCGCCGTGGGGACCCTCAGATCGCATCCGGGTCGTAAGGGTGCGCCGCCTGCATGGGTGTTGAGCGCCACGCCCCTGGCTGAACTCTCCCTGGCACTGTGTGCGCGCGCAGGCTCGGTCTCGGCAGGACAGCTCCAGGAGAGGGCAGAGGGGCTGGCTGACTACTGGAAGTACCAGAAGGTCAAGATCAACCGCGGGAACAAGCTGAACGCAGATCTCGGGGTGCAGTTCCCTCCCCGCCGCCTCGCATCGTTCATCACAATCAACTCTCTGATCATCCCCTCTCCTCCGTTCACAGCCGCAGATCAAGAAGAGGCTCTCGGACGCGAACGGCGGTGCCTCCTTCATCCTGGACGGCGCAGGCCAGGCCACCATGAAGTAGAGGCGCCTGCACCACAGCACGTGCCTGGGGGCGGCCTGCGTCTCGCCCCCCACGGCTCTGCGCGGTGTAAGTGCTACGTTCCGCGTCAATGCTTGCCAGATGAGGCACCGCCGGGTGAGGGGTGTTGGACACTGCTTGTGTCGGTGGAGATCCCTGGTCTGTTACTTTCGTTGGCTGGGGCGTCCTCTCGAGCGCACTCGCAAAAGCCGCGCGCGGGTGCTCTGCCTCTGGCCTGGGGGGGGGGGGGGGGGATCTCGCGCCCTTCGACGTCACTCTTGTTACCTTGTAGTCCTGGTTGAAACCACGCCATCGAGACCAAAAAATAACGCACACTCCATGCTGTCCCGGCGCAAATGTTCTAATGCCGTCCGGGGCTGTGCATTACTGTGTGCATTGCTGTCGTCTCTAGGCGTGGGGAGACGGACGCTCGAGGGTCGCAAAATCGCCCCCCCCTGCCCTTCTCTCGAAACACACTCTCTGGACGAGTGGGTCAACCGGCAACGCTCAAGTCTGCCGCTCCCCGATCCTCCTCTGATACCCCTCCACCAGCTCCGTCAAGCGCCGCACCTCGGCCCGCAGCGCCGCCTGCGCCTCCGCCGCTTCTGCGCGAGTTGCATCCCGCTCCGCCACCGCCTCCGCCACCGCCCGCCTCGCCGCCGCCGCCGCGCCATCGCTTGCGGCGGACGAGGCGGCGACCGCGCACCTCGCGCTGTCCACCGCTCGCTCAGCGTGGCCGAGCAGCGCCTGATGATCACATCTGGAGCTAAACGGGGCGCCTTCACACCGCTCGCTCCGCAGAGCAACCTCACACCTCGACGCCGCCTCCGCCTCCGCCAACGCCGCCGCCGCCTCCGCCTCCGCCGCCGCCTCGGCCCCCACCCGGCCGCAGCCACGCCTCCGGCTGAGGCAGACCTGAGGCGTTGCCAGCCAGAGGCGTTGCAACGAAGGAGAACCGTCTCAGGCTGAGAGGACTCCGCACCAACGCCGCAGGAGTCCCCACCAGCCGGCGATGTGGCAGCGGCATCTCTCCCCATCTCTCGCAAGCATCTCTCCCCACCTCTCCCCACCAGCCTGCGGCGTGGCAGCGGCGGCGCACGGACCGGACGTACGCATGCGCCGCCGGGGCGCCGTCGCGCAGCGTCTTCGCCTGTGTTGCGATCCGCCTTTGTGTGAGTGCGAGTGGCTGGGCGAACCGGGTGCGGCGCCGCACCGTCGCTCTCTCGCCTGCGCGTGGAGAGAATGAGACGGGGAGACGGCGTGGGGGGGCGCGTCGGTGGGGACTGGAAGGCAGACTAACGGGGCAGCCGCCATCACTCGCTCCTCCGAGGCACGCCTCGCTATCTCGGCTACATCTCGGCTACATCTCGGCCGCATCTCGGCCGTATCTCGGCCGTATCTCGGCCACATCTCGGCCGTATCTCGGCCATATCTCGGCCATATCTCGCCTCGCGGAGCCGCGCAGACAGGGAGGCGCAAGGAGGGAGCGAGCCACCGCCACCGCCCCCTCCGCCGCCGCCCCCTCCGCCGCCGCCCAAGGCAGCTCCGGCGACGGCCACGCAGCTGCGAGAGAGAGAGGTGAAACGCGTGTCGTGTGCGTGTCGTGTGCGTGTCGTGGGCGTGTCGTGGACGTGTCGCGGACGTGTCGTGGGCGTGTCGTGGGCGTGTCGTGGGCGTGTCAGGGAGCAGGTGGCGACGCGCCGCTCAGCAAACGTGACTGCGCTGGCGAGCGAAGCTAGCGCCTCCGCCCGCTGCGTGC